TTATCTTCGTTCTCTTTTATTCTTTTTTCTTGAAAAGATTATTCCCTTTTTGTATATTATCAAACGGCACTTCAGAAATCAACAATTGCTTTAAACTATCTGTGTAGCACTGTCAAGTGTTTTTTTGGGAAAAGGATAATCCTATATTATTGCCTAAGGGAGGTACTACCAAATGCATAAGGCATAAAGCAAAATGGAATTTGTAGTATAAAAATCCTTTGTAATGAGACTTTACCATTACAATTTTAATAATTTCCTTCACTTTTTAAAGCTTTATTGAGATATAATTTACATGCCATGAAATTCACCTGTGTTAAATGTACAGTTTACTGATAAAATTATAAACAGAGTTGTGCAATCATCAACCAATCAAATTTTAGAACATTTTCATTACAGCCTCCCCCTTTCCCTCCCCCCAAAGAAACCTCGTGCCCATTTGCAGTTATTCCCACTCCCACCTCAGCCTTAGGTAACCATTTCTGTCTATAGGTTTTACTTTTATGGACATTTCATATAAAGGGAATCACATAATATGTGGTCTTTTCACTTAGCATGATGTTCATACATATTGTAGCATGAATCAGTACTTCATTCCTTTTTGTTGCTGAATAGTATTCCAAATGGATATAACACATATTGTTTATCTATTTACCAGTTGATAGACATTTGGGTCTACCACCTTTTTTACTATTTTGAATAATGGTGTTATGAACATTTGCATATGAGTCTCTGTGGACATAAACTTTCATCTCACATGAATAAATATGTAGGAGTGGAATTGCTGGGTGATACGGTAAATCTATATTTAATATTTTAAGAAACTGCCAAGCTATTTTCCAGAGCTCCTGTACCATTTTCCATTCCCAGAGTAATGTGTGAGGGTTCCAGTTTCTCCACATCTTTCTCAATACTTATTGTTGTCTGTTGCTTTTTTATAGCCATGGTAGTGGTTGTGACGTAGTACCTCATTGTGGTTTTGACTTTCATTTTCCTAATGATGTGAAGTCCTTCACTATTTAAAAAATGTGACATTGTGCTTTAAAAAATTGTTTTAACCTATGAAGAAATGCATATTTTTCCCATATGAAGGGGAGACAGACTATCAATAACTGTTCTCTTCTAAAGGAAAACTATTCAAATTCTATAGACTTAAAAAATACGTGTGTGTGTGTGTGTGTGTGTGTGTGTGTGTGTGTGTCATAAGTAGAGCTAATCTATGGATAAAGGATTCTGGAAAAGACATGACTAGGAAAGGCTGAACTAAAGACAGAGATGAATGTTTCAACTAATTATCATTTTTATATAGTATAGAATGGAATTTTTACTAATTCATTCAACATGTATGTATAGAGTGCTTTCTGTATGCCGGGCAGTGTTGAAGGTCTTGGAAATATAACAGTGAACAAGCAATCAAGTTCCCAACCACCCCTCATGGAGCTTACATTCTAGTGGAGAAGACCTATGATAAACAGACAAATATATGTATATGTCTAGTAGTGATAAGTATTATCAAGAAAAACAGGGTAGGGTAAGGAGATAAGAGATGTGAAAATAGGTGGTATTTTAGAGGGTGGCTCAGGAAAAGTCACTCTGAGGATGGGGTATTTGAACAAGAACTTTAAAATGTTATAAGGAAGCAAGCCATAAGAATATATGAGGGGGGGTCGGCCGAGTGGCTCAGTTGATTAAGAGTTGGCTTAAGAGCGCAAGCTCTGAGCAACAGGGCCGCCGGTTCGATTCCCACATGGGCCAGTGATGCTGTGCCTGAGCTGAGCTGTCGCTGCCAACAGGTGGCAGGATGGCTCAGCTGGTGTAACAACAAGATTGCCTGTTGAATGGTGGGCTGTGCCTACCCGCGACTAAGACTGAACTCAGCACCTTGAGCTGAGCTGCCACCCAGGTGGCTCAGTGGATAGAGTGTGCAGTCTTAACAACAAGGCTGCCGGTTTGACTCCCGCATGGGGTGGTGGCTATGCCCACCCACAACTAAGACTGAACACAGCACCTTGAGCTTAGAGGCCACAAGCTGCTGACGAGCAGCCAGATGGCGACTGGCGCCCTCCACAACTAAGATTGAAGAACAACAACTTGGCTGGTCCCCTTCCCCAATTCCCCAACACTGCCCCCATACCCCAATTCCCCAATAAAATCTTAAAAAAAAATAAAAAAGAATATATGAGGGGAAAGAATTCCTCAGGTACAGAGTACAGCAACTACACAGCCTTCAGATGAGAAATTTTATAATCCATCCTCCACTGATCAGACAAATTTTGACATAAATAGACATAAAGCGTCTTTGGTATATTAGAACAAGTTACTTCTCAGAAATTTTTTTTTTCAAGATTTTATTGGGGAATTGGGGGAGGGGAACAGACAAGTTGCTGTCCTTTTGTTCTTCAGTCTAGTTGTGGAGGACGTTGCTTCACTGGCCCATGTTGATATTATCATTGCGCTCTTCCTGGGTGAGGCAGATCAGTCGCTGGACAGCCGTTCCCGGGTAGCTCTTGGCAGCTCACACCGTAAGCCACACACAGTAGCTTATGGCAGCCCACTGCAGCAGGGGCTGCAGCCTACGCTGTTGCCGGTGACTCACATCAGCCCAGCTCCAGGTCGAGCTGTTGTTCACCATCTTAGCTGTAGAGGGCAGTGTCACTGGTCCTCATGTGGGATCTGAACCGGTGCCCTGCTGCTCAGAGCTCGCGTTCCCAAGCCAGCTCTTAACCAATGCGCCACTCGGCCAGCCCTATGTATTTTTTAAATGGGGATTATAATATCTGCATCAGAGATTGTACTGATGAATAAATGAGATACTCAATATAAAGCATCTGTAGTTCCATGTTAAGTGATAAAATGGTGGTAGTTATTAATTTATTGGAAATTATTGTTGTTATTGTCACATCACCCATTTTAGGTTTTCAAAATTAGTTTTCCAACTATTCTTTAGTAACCTTTGATTTTTGTATGTTTTAAAATTTGTAAAATCTTAAATCAGATACTACTCTTTTAGGAATGTCATAATCTTAATGAAATAGGACCATTACATCAGCTTCAAACTATTATGCTTTTGATTATCATTCTACTATATTTATTTTTTAAATATTAATGACATTAGAGACCTCTTTCTCTAATTACTTTTATTTCTCAAGGTTCATTTGTGATAGAGGCAGATTTATTGATGAGTTGGATTCCAGAAATTTGACTTTTTTATAGATTGTTTAATAATCAGATTACACCTTTTGACAGAAACATGGATCTACTCTAATAGTGATTAATTTCCAAGAGTCTTTGTTGGTTGGTTGTCTCATTTGTGTTTCATGGATGCAGTTTGTTTGTATCTCTTTAGGATTTTTTTTGAAAGTCAGGTTTATTGAGATAAAATATACATATAATAAAAATTCACCCTTTGTATTGCATAGTTTTGACAGTTAAGTGACTATCACTGTAATCAAGATATAAAACAGTTCTTTGGGGACTTTGACCATCATTGATGGTCAGTATTTTTAGATGTGTATGTATGTCTGTGTGTGTCCTTCTGGGATTGATCTTCCACACTCTTTTCTGGAGGGTCTAAGCCTGGCTGCAAGCCCTCTGTGCGGCAAGTGGTAGAAAGAAGGTTAGAGGTCTCAACATGCAGTATGTAAACTTTCACTTGATACACGTTTAGAATATGTTTCTCTCATCCTCATTTGTGCCTGTTGTTCCACACCCCAAAGACTCTTTAGAATTTCCCATACAATAAATCTCTAGTTTTTTACTGGAATAGGGAAGGGGATCTAGGGTTCTGTGTCTATCGTACTTGTTCTTAAGCCCACCTTTATCCCCACTTCTTGATGTCCTTAGTATTGCTAATTCCGGAACCTTTTAGGAATTCTGCTTTTTACATTTCCTCACAGCTGATTTAGGATTTGCTTTCTCAGATCTGCTAAATCATTTATCACTTCAGCTTTGCAGCTTCCAAAATGTTGCTGCTGTCATTTCCTCTTCCCTTTGCTGTCATTGTAATAGGGTTTCAGGGAAGGGTAGAAGTAATTGCGTGTTTAGTCTGCTATCTTTAAAAGTCTTCCTTACTTTAAAAAAAAGATAAATAAAAAAACACTTACCTTATGGACATGACCCTTAATGATCTAGCTTCTGCCTATCTCTCCAGCCTTATTTCTCACTCTGCTGCAATCTACCCCCAGCCTAAGCTCCAGTCATATGCATCTGCTTAAGATACTGCCAAAGAAACTGTGTTGTTTCATGTCTTTCAGTTCTGCACGTGCTATTGGTCCTTTAAGACTCTCCTTAGTGAAACTTTGCTGATTCACATGGGTGCCCCCTGTCAGTACTTATTGTATTACTACAAGTATTTATTTTCTACAAAAGTCTCATCCTAGAGGTTTCTTAATCTGGGGGGTACAGGTGGAAGGGCTGTCCATGGATAAAATATAATTTGAGGAATAGGATAGTGGATTATTTTTTCAAAGGTAGAGGAAAGGTTTAGAGAGCTAGCTGCAAAAATGAAACAAAAATGTAAGGATGTGGCATAAAACAAGTCAGATATAGATAGTCTGATTTTGGTTCTTCTGGCTGCTTGTGGTTGTGTATGTGATTTGGTTCCAAAACTTTAGGCTTCTGTACATTTTGATGACATAGACACCACTACTGTACACATAGACTTGGATTTCATAACCTGTAAATTTGAATTTAATATATGGCTAGTGATATGGAAAATAGGGAGATTGACATGTTGTGTTGGCAAAAAAATATATATGCCATATTATTGTTACTGGTTGCAACTAAAAAGAATGAGAACAGATTAATTTTTTTGGAATACCCTGCCTTATGCTTCCTCTGTGTTTCAGTTTTTTAAAAATATATAAATTAGAACCATGTCCTCTGCTTTACTCGTAAGCCTCTTAACATAGTGTGGAGGTGTTGTATTTTTATATGTGTATTAAGGATATAATCAGACTCTGTTGCATTTTGTATTTTACATTTATTATTTTTATTTTGTCTAGGTATTCAAGAGATTATGGCATCTGAAACCCACAATGTTAAAAAACGAAACTTTTGTAACAATATTGAGGATCATTCCATTGATCTCCCTAGAAAAAGAATCTCTAATTTTACTAATAAGAACATGAAGGAGGTAAGTTCATGGTTTCTAGGTAATGGGTAAGATAGCATCTTAATCTGTTCAGGCTAAGAATATCATAACAACACCATAGACTGGGTGGCTTATAAACAACAGAAATTTATTTCTCACAGTTCTGGAGGCTGAGAAGTCTAAGATCAAGGTCCTAGCAGTTTTGGTATCTGGTGAGGATCCACATACTTCTGCTTCATATATAGCTATCTTCTCACTGTGTCTTCACATAGTGGAAGGGACAGGAGAGCCCTCATGACCCAGTCACCTCCCAAAAGCCCTGCCTCCTAATACCATCACTTTGGAGGTTAGAATCTCAACTTAGGAATTTTGGGGAGATAATCTTTCAGTCCATCACAGACAGTTTAAACTGTTAGGCCTATGGATAGCTCTGGTTAAATAGTTTAAACAATGGGAGGTACAAATTCTGCTTAACTTCCCAGAATTAAGTAGAATTAACGAAATACTGAAAACTTTATATTCTGAAAGCTCTAAAAGCTTTTTGGACAGTATATTGTTTTGGTATGATATAATTTTAATATTTTAGTTTAACATCAAAGAGGAATCTCAGGTGCTTTTTTTGTTGTTGTTCACTATTGTAAGGCATATTAGCACTGATAAAATTTCTTTTAAACCATATAGAATTTAACTTATCACCTATAAGTATAATATGTGACTAGTGGCATGAAAAATTGGGAGATAGATAAGTCAAAAACACCTATATACAATTTTCTTGTAACTAATGATTGCGATAAAGCATTAGAACAGAAAAAGCTTTAATCTGAAAAACAGCTGTTGAATTTCAGACTTGTTGATATCAATCCAAAGTTTACATTGCTTTATTAAAGAATTTAAATATGCTGCAACTATCTACTTTTATTTTTCAGGTTAAGAAATCTCCAAAACAGTTGGCTGCTTACATAAATAGGTAAGAGCATCTTTAAAGTTTGTGGGAAACTGTAAATATTGAAAGCTGGGTAAGAGTAAAAATAGGGAAAAAATAAGTATTCTCTTTTACTATAATTTACTTATTGTCTTAACAACTCCTTTGTACCAGGCACTAAATACATCAATATTATCTCTAATCCTTACAGTGGTCCTACTGGATAAGTATCATTGTTCTCTAACAGTTGATGAGAAAAACTAAAAACCAGATAGATTAAGTGATTTGTTCAGGGTTATACACCCAAAAAGTGATAAAAAATGGCATTCGTTCTCAGATCTGCTGAACTTTCTATCAAACTTCTGGTTCTCAGAGTCATTTTCTACTAAACTATTGGTTCTCAAAGTGTGGTCTCCGGGACTTTGGGGGCCCCTGAATCCCTTTCAGGGAGTTTTTCAGGTCAAAACTATATTTGTATCAATATTAAGACGTTATTCACATTCTTCATTTTCATTCTCTTACAAGTGTACAGTAGAGTTTTCCAGAGGCTAAATAATATTTGATATCATAATAGATTGGAGAAGCAGATATGAGAGTCCAGCTGTCTTTTTGTTAAACTAGATATTAGAGATTTTGCAAAGATGTAAAACAGTGTCATTCTTTTCTCTCTCTCTCTCTCACTGTGTATGTATGTAAATATATATTGAAAATACAGGATTTTGGGGGTAAAGTATTCTGTTAATATGTAATGAGTATCATTTTTTAAGGGAATTAACACATTTTTTCAATTTTAGTTTCTAATATAGTAAATATCAATAGATACTGCTCACATTAAAAAATTATTTTGAGACTCAAAAAATTTTAAGAGTGTAAAGCATTCTGAGGACAAAACATTTGAGAACCACTATTCTAAACCATGAGATGTACTCTATTGTGGTTTATCTTTTTATTTTAGCTGAGCCATGTTGGCAGCTTAGTGGCAGCTCGGCTCAGGCTGGGAATCGAACCTCTGTTGCTCAGAGCTCGCACTCTTGAGCAAGCTCTTAACCAACTGAGCCACTCGGCCGGCCCTATTGTGGTTTATCTTATTCAAACAAAATTAAATATACTTCAACTTAATCAAAATAAACTTTAAAATATTCAAGCATGTATATTTATCTGTCATTTTGTTAGAAAAATTTTAGGTGACTAGAAATTGTTATAATTTTCTTACACCTAGAATGGCTTATATTTCATTTTAAAAGCATCTAGTTATTATTCCTCTTTTCATTTTCATTTGGTATAAAGTATCCTTTTCATTCCTTTTCAGTGGTTTGTAATTTCCCTCTTTGATCTAAGATTTAAGATTTTTAAAATTCTATTTACTTGTAATTTTAGTGGATTGTGATCACAAAATGTAGCCTATTAAATCTTTCAGTTTAAAAACTTTTCAAGGTTTTCATGTGGGTCTTTCATTTAAGAAAATTAATTATTTTTACAGAACAGTTGGACAAGCTGTGAAAAACCCGGATAAACTACGTAAGGTGATTTATCACAGAAAGAAAGTTCATTATCCTTTTCTAAATCCTTGTTACAAAAAAAAGCAGTCCCCTAGAAGTGGGGGCTGTGACATGGCAAATAAAGAAAATGAACTGGCTTGTGCAGGCCACCTGCCTGAAAAATTACATCATGATGGTCGAACATATTTGCTTAACTCCAGTGATTCTGGTTCTTCACAGACAGAAAGCCCATCATCAAAATATAGTGGGTTTTTTTCTGAGGTAAGTAATTTTATAAACTTAACTTTATTCTTGCTATATTATTGGGTTTTTTTTGTTTTTTTTACTGTTGGATTATTTTTTATTTGCCGTATTCTGCTAGCAGAAAATTTTACCACCCATTGAATTCAGACTTATTTGAATAATTTTAACTCCCTGAGACAGTTTTCCAGATTAACCAAATTTGAATCAGGAGTTTATTCCATTTCTCTAAGTTAGTGATATCTGAGATGGGTTGAAATGATTGACAAGCCGCCATAAATATCCAGAATGGCAGGTAAGCCAGTAGAGATTTACGGAAGGGAAAAGAAATCTTACCTAAAAAGCAGACCACCAAAGCCAGTTATCCAGATACATTTTGCTTGGCTCTCAAAATTTCATAGTAGAAGCTTTGTTTTACCAAATCTGCTAAGATGTACAGCTCTTCTGGTTCAGACAAAATTAGTTGTTTGAATAGGGTCAAGGGAATATTTGGGGCGGGAGGGGGCAGTGATGAAAACATTGTAAAACTGGATTGTTGTGATGGTTGCACAGCTCTATAAATTGATTAAAAATAATTGAATTACATACTTTAATGGGTGAGTTTTATGGTATGTAAATTAAACTTCCAAAAAGTCATTTTTTATAAAAATGGTCATTTGAAGGAATGGTTTGATAAAATTTGTAAACACCATGAGTTTATAATAATAATTATTATTACATGTTTATTGTATATGTTGTAGAAAATAAACCCAAAGGAAAAAAATTATCCATAATCTTGATGTTTGGAAATAACTATTAAATTTTTTATGTATCCTTTCTCTTCATACTGTACATATTATTTGATAACTTGATGTTTAATAAATTTAGATATTTTTTCATGTGATTAAATAACGCTTCTATAATTTTTTAATAGATACATAACATTACATTGTTTGAATGTACCTTAATTCCTTTAACTATGATTTGGTAAACTTAGTATTGTTTCTCTCTGGCATGACAGCTTAAAAAGCATTTTCTGTGGCATACAAGCAGAAAAAAATTAAATTAAAATGGTCATAAGCATGTGTAGGTGAATGAAGATGAGCATCATATTTAGGATAATAATTACAAGCAATAAGATGAAAGAAAGGTAGAAAATAAAGTTATTAACTAAAACCATAATGAAATGATACAAAAATAAAGAATCTTTTTGCTAATGAAAACATTCTCGCAAAATTTAGATCCTGGAGTAAGAGAGCTAACATTGCTAGGAGAAATGAAGGAAGTGTGTATAGTGTCTGAGGAAAGAGGAAGGAAGGAAAATTTGGCTTAATAGTGAATTATGGTCCCTGGAGATTAGGATGGCAGCTAAACTTTAGTGTTAAAGAGAATCACTGCCATACTAATTCATTCACAAATATTTATTGAGGATTCCTACTGTGTAATGCATTCTAAAGGCTTTGAGGAAATAGATTGGTGGGTGAAAAACACACACTGCCCCTACTTTCATGTAGTTGTAGAAGTGGTGAGGCCAATACTAATCAGATAATCATAAAAACTGCATACCTTGAAGGAAAAGAACATATAACTATATAAACCAGAAATCTGTTCTGATTGGAACCTGGGTTGGTTGTTCAGTTGAACTGGGGGAATAAACATTTAGAGTGCAAATGTCTTTAAAAAAATAAGTTTCAGTTGTGTATTTGAATTAGTGGTACAGTGTGAGACATTTTTTCAAGGCCCTCTTTTTACTTTGCTCTCTGAAATTGACTACTTTTCACAAACCTTTCTTAGTCTCACACTCAACTAATAGATTTATTGATTGCTCTTTTGTTGTTTTAGACCCTTTTTCCTGATTGACTAATGCCTGCTCTAAAAACCTATATTTAAAAATGATGCCATATTATTTTGTCAGAGTTCAAATATATGTAATCTTTGATCTAGCTGTTCCAGTTCTAAAATTAATCCTACAGAAGTATTTGTACAAGTGCACATATTTTCATACACAGTACATTCATTGCGTAGTTTTAATAGAGAAAAACCAGAATCAATCTAAATAGATTATGGTACATAAAGACTGGAAAATATGTAATTGTTTTTTAAAAATTAGGTTGATCTATATATATTTTTTAAGATTTTATTGGGGGGTTGGGGGAGGGGAACAGTGTTGGGGAATTGGGAAAGGGGAACAGCCAAGTTGTTCTTCAGTCTTCGTTGTGGAGCAGCGGTTCTCAACCTGTGGGTCATGACCCCTTTGGGGGTCGAACGATCCTTTCACAGGGGTCGCCTAAGACCATCGGAAAACAAAAAGATACTTACATTATGATTCATAACAGTAGCAAAATTACAGTTATAGAGTAGCAACGAAAATAATTTTATGGTTGGGGGTCACCACAACATGAGGAACTGTATTAAGGGGTCGCGGCATTAGGAAGGTTGAGAACCACTGTTGTGGAGGGTGCCAGTTGCCATCTGGCTCGCTCAAGGTGCCCAGTTCATTCTTAGTTGTAGGTGGGCATAACCACCATCCCATGTGGGAGTCGAACCAGCAGCCTTGTTGTTAAGAATACACACTCTATCCACTGAGCCATCTGGGTGGCAGCTCAGCTCAAGGTGCCCAGTTCAGTCTTAGTTGCAGGTGGACATAGCCCACCATCGAACAGGCAATCTTGTTGTTATACCACCTGAGCCATCCTGCCATCTGTTGGCAGCTCAGTGACAGTTCAGCTCGGGCTCAGCGTCACTGGCCCATGTGGGAATCGAACCGGTGGCCCTGTTGATCAGAGCTCGCACTCTTAAGTCAACTCTTAACCAAGTGAGCCGCTCAGCCAGCCCCGGTTGCTCTGTTGGGTTGTCGGAAAAGTCATGATGCATTTTTGCATCGAAAAACAGAAAAAAGACGTCATGACTTTTCCGACAACCCAATATGTTTTGACATTGAAAAAATCTTCATAATACGTCATAAGTGAAAAAGCAAGGTTTTCAAAAATATAGATATAGTATTTTAATTTTACATGTACCTAATTTGTCCTTGTCTAGAAAATGGTTTGGAAAGATATATACCAGTCTGTTAATGGTGATTACTTCTGGGTAGTGATGTTATATGTTTTTGTGGGCAGGTAGAGAGTTTTTACTTCTAATTTTATGCAGCTCTGCATTACTTAGAACATTTTACAAGAAGAATGTATTCCTTTATAATAGAAAAAAATGAGTGAGTGAATGAAGTTAAATACTTGTCACAGAACTGAATTTTTGTGGTTCCCTTCTCATGCTATTCAATAAGTAATGACTAGCGTATGTATTATATATTTACCTTTTCCTTTTATTTGTATTATAAATTCAATCATAGGTTTGTAGGTGAGCTAAAAATAATTTTATTTATTTATTTATTTATTTATTAGCTGAGCCATCCTGCCACCTGTTGGCAACTCAGCAGCAGCTCAGCTCAGGCCGGGAATTGAACCACTGTTGCTCAGAGCTCACACTCCTGAGCGAGCTCTTAACCAACTGAGCCACTCGGCCAGCCCTAAAAATAATTTATTTTGTAAGTTGAGATTTAAAAAAAAAATGGTAGCAAGTTAAAAAAAAGTTTTGGTAAAAAATAAATAGGTCCTAAATTTATTCAGATCATTCGTTTACTATGTTCAACAACAATATTTTCTGTGTGGACCTGTAAAAGGAGTCACCTTTGTATAATTTTAAAATATACCTACCAGAATAATTCAATTAAAAAAATGGTTTTATATTATGTTTCAATGTGCTTTTTAAGAAATTAGATTACTGCCTTTCAGGTTTCTCAGGACCATGAAACAATGGCACAAGTTTTGTTCAGCAGGAATTTGAGATTGAATGTAGCTTTAACTTTCTGGAAAAAGAGAAGCATAACTGAACTTGTAGCTTATTTGGTGAGGTAAGTGTGACCTTTTATGTTTTTTTTTCAATAAAAGTAATTTCCCGTGGGCTATTTAGAAGTGCCTCTTCTTTTTTATGTTATTAGTGGCTAAAATTTTAAACTTCTTTGTTTAGCTTCAGTAGAGACAAATGGTTTAAATTACATTCATTACTAGTCTAAGACTAACCAAAATACAGAAAGCCATCTGTTTTATCGGACTGAACAAAGCTGTTACCTTCTATAAGATTCTTATCTATAAAACTAAGTGATACCAGTATGGGAAAACTAACCCTTTAAAAATCCCCTTTGAGTGAAAATTTTAAACATTACCTTTCTTGCAGTATTGAAGTCCCTTCTCTTCTCAGATGTTACCTTAATGAGGCCTTCCTTGACCACCTTATCTAAAAATACATATTTCTTCACTCCCTGTGACTTTTTAAAAATTTTTCTCCATAGCACTTACCACCATCAACATGCTGTATATATTTCACTTGTTTATTTATTGTCTTTCTCTGCCTTCTCCCCCACCCCATACACTCACACACACAGTAGAATGCATGCCCTGTCTCTGTTTACTGCTGCACGCCAGCACCTGGCTCACCATAGACACTAGGATTATTTGTTGAATGAGTGGATTTCTCAAAAGCAGTATGGAGGTCATCATATGAAAGTAAATGAGGAAATCAGCTTTTTGAGCAGTGCTATTCTTTTTGTACCCACCCCACAGGATAGAAGACCTTGGAGTGGTGGTAGATTGCCTTCCTGTGCTCACCAATAGGTAAAAAGAATATTTTTCAGAAAATAAATAAGTTTACAGAAGGACAAATTATGGATGTTCATATTTTTATAACTTACTATTTCTTTATTTTAGTTTACAGGAAGAAAAACAGTACATCTCACTAGGCTGCTGTGTAGACTTGTTGCCTCTAGTAAAATCACTACTTAAAAGCAAGTTTGAAGAGTAAGTGGTAATCTGCATCTCAATTCATTTCTCTTTTCCAACATCCTTGGTTTTGTGCCTTGTGAGGGCATAGTAGTAGACTGAGCTCCATGAGACATACATGGTTTTTATTTTCAAGTTGCTTATAGTCAAATTAGGAAAAGAATATGAAGTGACTAAAGAACAATTACAAAAGCATCTATAAACAAGTTATATAAAATGGTTTTGTGAAAGTAGTGAAATAAATTTTTTAAAAGAGGGAAAAGTCAGTGTGTGTGTGTGTGTGTGTGTGTGTTTTGAATAGGGGGCAGAATCTTCTTTTGTAAAGGCTTCTTGGATGAAAACACTTGAATTTTGTAACAAAATGTCATTTCAGGTATATAATAGTTGGCTTAAACTGGCTTCAAGCAGTCATAAAAAGGTGGTGGTCAGAACTATCTTCCAAAACAGAAATTATAAATGATGGGTGAGTATACCTTTAAAGATAACCTCATGCTACTAAAATTTTTTTCAGAAAAGCAGCTTGATAAAACTCGGTTATGTTTTTATTCCATGATCGTCAGTGTATAATGCTGGGGTGCCAAAAAAAATGTATAAAAGTGGACACTTTGGTCAATGTTGCTCAAGCAGTAGTTCGCCATAATCAGAAGTGTCTGGATGCTGATGGTAACGACTTTGATCACCTCTTGTAATTGCAGAAGTCAAATGTGACTTGTATTCATCTTTTGTTATCAGTCGGTATATGTTGAATATTACAGTTTTAATACAGTTTTCTTAAAATGTGTATACATTTTTTGGTACCCTCTGTATTCTCTTCATTTTCAGAGAAATATTAAATTAGGATACTGTTCATGTGAAAATTACACATGGAAGTTGAATTCCAGAGATCAGTAACCCCCTGTATCTCTTCTAGGGGAACCCTACTTTTCATTTTAGAAGGCAAAAGCACAGTGGTGGTTTAACCCTTATGTCCATTGTAATGAGTAAGGGAGAGAGAAGGTGATGGCTCTTAGTGGAGTAAGTAATGAGGCACAGGAATGGAGGCATCCTGCAGGTCCTTTGGCTTCCTAGACATTAACCTGAGACTCCACTGTGGAGGATTACAATTCTAAAACCTATATGATAATCATTATAATTTGTGTATTGCTTTGATGTGAAAATAAGTGGGTATTCTACCACATGAGCCAGATTATCATGAAGCTATAAAAATAACTCCCAACAGTCTCCTTAAAGTTCATAGTTTTCTTTTTAGCCTCTCAAAATTTCCCATTTCATATACAAGAATAGGTGTCCAAATGCTTCAAATGCCTCGTTGTTTTCTTACTTGCCTTAACAACTACATAACCTTTAATTTCCATGATTGGTATGTACTATTTTAAAGAATTGCTTGACTTCAAATAGTATAATTTTCTCTGATAAATACTTGAACATTTTTTAATTTTTCATTAAAAATATTTACTATCAAAGCTCATATCATATATTTGTATTCTCATTTTTCTTTTTTTCTCCTAGAAATATTCAGATTTTAAAAGAACAATTAAGTGGATTGTGGGAACAAGAAAACCATCTTACTTTGGTTCCAGGATATACTGGTAATATAGCTAAGGTAATCTATATTTAAGCTTTAAAATTTAAGGTTAAAATCAATATTTAAGCTTACTTAATTAAAATTTAGAAATAGTATTTTAGTATTATGCATTTATAAATGAATTCTTCTAAATCTTTAGGCAGTATAATTCAGTACTATCTCATAAGGTCTAAAGTCAGTTTCATATTTCCAAATGTCTTTTGGATATTAATGTGAGTTTGGCAGGGAACACAAGAATTATTAGCCATTGAATGCGTTTCACATACAGTCACAAAAATAATATGCTAGAGGTTATTTAATGATCTTGTTCCAATTAAATAAAAATATTTTAAAAAACATTAAAAATCTAGGTAAGGAAAGTATTCAAAAGACACTCAGGAAGCAAGAGGTGAGGAATACAATTAAATGGTTTGGGGGTATTATTTTTTTACTTGGCTTTAGCTAATATCATCCTCTTTGGCAAAGTAAACTGTTCAAATCACAGTATGATTTGACATTGGTATTTATTGATTTGCTTGCCTCTTAAAGGAGAAGGTACATTGCTAGTTTGGATTTTAATATATAAACTCCAGAAAACATTTGTCCTAAAATACATATAATTGCAGAAAAAATATCATTGTGAAGAAATTTTTCCATCCGTTTACTGAGCAAACTGCTATCATATATTCTAAGTAAGAGGATATATGTTATGAACTGACTTGTAAAATTCTTCTGGGATACTGTCAAGAAAAGAAGCAAAATGATACATCAAGCAAGTGTGTTACCACTGTTTATAATTTTACTTTGTAAAATTCTTTTTTTTTTTAAATTAAATTTATTGGGGTGACAATGGTTAGTAAAATTACATAGGTTTCAAGTCTACAATTCTATAATACATCATCTATACATCACATTGTGTGTCAGTCAGTTCTCCTTCCATCACCATATATTTGAACCCCTTTACCCTCTTCTGCCACCCCCGCCTTACCCTCTGTTAACCACTAAACTTGTGCCTATGAGTTTTTGTTTCTTTGTTTGTCTTGTTCCTTGGTTGCTTTCAGTTTTATATCTCACATATCAATGAAGTCATATGGTTCTTGATTTTTTCTGTCTGATTTACTTTGCTTAGCATAATAATCTCAAAGATCCATCCACATTGTTGCAGATGGCAGTATTTCATCTTTTCTTATGGCGGAGTAGTAGTCCATTGTGTATATACTATATCTTCTTTATCCAATCATCTATTGAAGGACACTGGTTGTTTCCATGTCTTGGCTACTGTAAATAAAGCTGCAATGAACATTGACGCACGTATATCTTTATAATAAATGTTTTCATATTTTTTTGGTATATACCCAGGAGAGGGATTGCTGGGTCATATGGTAATTCTATTTTTTTTGTTTTTAAAGATTTTATTGGGGAATTGGGGGAAGGGGAACAGACAAGTTGCTGTCCTTTTGTGCGTCAGTCTAGTTGTGGAGGACGTCGCTTCACTGGCCCATGTTGGTATTATCATTGCACTCTTCCCGAATGAGGCAGATCGGTCACCGGTCTCTGGACAGCCGCTCACGGTGGCTCTTGGCAACTCATGCTAGCTGCTGGCCACTCACGCTGGCTGCCGGCCACATACAATAGCTTATAGCAGTCCACTGCAGCAAGGGCTGCTGCCTACGCCTCACCGGGAACTTAACAGCAGCCCAGTTCCAGTTCAAGCTGTTGTTCACCATTTTAGCTGTAGGGGGCAGTGTCACTGGCCCTCATGTGGGATTTGAACCAGGGCTCCGCTGCTCAGAGCTGGTATCCCAAGCCAGCTGTTAACCAACGCGCCACTCAGTTGGCTGGTAATTCTATTCTTAAATTTTTAAAGAACCACAATACTGTTTTCCATAGCAGCTGTACCAATCTACATTCCCACCAACAGTGTGTGAGGGTTCCTTTTTCTCCACAGCCTCTCCAACACTTATTTGTCTTGTTGATGATAGCCATTCTAACAGGTGTGAGTGATATATCTCATTGTGGTTTTGATTTGCATTTCCCTAATATCTAGTGAAGTTGAGCATTTTTTTCATGTATCTGTTGGCCGTTTGTATGTCTTCTTGGGAGAAGGATCTGTTCATGTTCTTTGCGCCCCTCCCCTGCCTTGTTTTTTTAAAGATTTTATTGGGGAATTGGGGAAGTGAACACTGTGTTTTTCCAGGACCCATCAGCTTCAAGTCAAGTTGTTGTCCTTCAATCTTAGTTGTGGAGGGCGCAGCCCAGCTCCAAATCCAGTCTCCGCTTTCAACCTAGTTGCGGGGGGCAGGGGGGAAGGGGGTGGTGGGGGAGGGGTGGGCGCAGCTCACCATCACATGTGGGAATTGAACTGGCAACCTTGTTGTTAACCCTCTGTTGGGTGCAACTGATCTACTGATCTCAGATTCATTGCACACAAAGATGCTGCTATGAAATACATCTTTACTGTACTAAGTCACAAACACAACTGGCGATAGGTTATGGTAGAGGGGGAAGATATGGAAGCAGTGAGTCACGATACTTAAGTTAACTGTTACATATTTGAAAATTTGTGTGCAATGAATCTGTGAGATGAGTTGTGCTAGATGGTTAAGAGCATGCGCTCTAACCAGCTGAGCCATCCAGCCGCCTGTTGGCAGCTTAGCGGCCCCTCAGCTTGGGCGCAGCTCACTGGACCATGTGGGAATTGAACCGGCAACTCTGTTGCTCAGAGCTCACACTCTAACCACCTGAGCCACCCACCCAGCCCACTCTGCCCATCGTTTAATTGGATTGTTTGTCTTTTTGTTGTTGAATTGTATGAGTTCTTTATATATTTTGGATATTAGCCCTTTATCCGAGGCGTTGTTTGCAAATATCTTCTCCCATTCAATTGGTTGCCTCTTTGTTTTGTTGATGGTTTCTTTTGCTGTGCAGAAGCTTTTTAGTTTGATATAGTCCCATTCATTTATTTTAGCTTTTACTTCCTTTCCCTTTGAGGTCAAATTCATAAAATCGTCTTTGAACCCAACGTCCATAAGTTTAGTACTTATTCATCTATGCAATTTATTGATTCAGGTCTTATGTTTCAGTCTTTTGATCCATTTTGAGTTAATTTTGGTACATGGTGACAGATAGCAATCCAGATGCATTCTTTTGTACGTGGCTTTCCAATTTTCCCAGCACTGTTTATTGAAGATGCTCTCTTTTCTCCATTGTATGTTTTTGTCTCTTTTGTTGAAAATAGTCCATATTTCTGTGGGTTTATTTCTGGGTTTTCAATTCTATTCCATTGGTTTCTGTGTCTGTCTTTCTGCCAATACCATGCTGTTTTGTTTATTGTTGCTCTGTAATACAAGCTGAAGTCAGGGAGCGTGATGCCTCCAGCCTTATTCTTTTTTCTTAGTAGTGCTTTGGCTGTTTGGGGTCTTTTGTGATTCCATACAAATCTGATGATTTTTTTTGTTCTATTTCTTTAAAAAATGCCATTGGGATTTTGATGGGGATTGCATTAAATCTGTATATTGCTTTGGGTAATATGGCCTTTTTAACTATGTTGATTCTTCCAATCCATGAACACGGACTGTTTTTCCATTTCTTTGTGTTTTTTTCTTCGATTTCTTTTAAAAATGTCTTAATAGTTTTCAGTGTATAGGTCCTTCACATTCTTGGTTAAGTTTATTCCTAGGTATTTTATTCTTGTTGCAGTTGCAAAAGGAATTGTTTTTTTCATTTCTTTTTCTGAAATTTAATTGTTAATATATAGGAACACAATGCATTCTTGTACACTGATTTTATAGCTGGCAACTTTACTGTATTCTTTTATTGTTTCTAATGGCTTTTTGGTGGAGTCTTTAAGATTTTCTAAATAAAGAATACTTTGTAGAATTCTTAATGATGACAAAAATCATATAAACAAATCAATTTCCCAGCAGTTTTTTTCTGTTGTTCTTTTGATAACTGGGGTGGGGGAATAAAGTAAAAGCTGATAAAAAATGGAATACTTTTTGATCGTACATGATATATCACATTGTTCTGGAGTGGTCTTATAGGTTTGGTAATAAAACTGAAAACTCACTGTTTCCTTGGAAATTTGTTTTTGATTTTAATTTTTTATAGAGAAGCTTTGTAAACATGAAGTTGAGAACATGAGATTAAGATAAAGACAATATTGAGTGATTAAAAGTTCTATGAAGTTGCTTAAGCTATGATAAAACCTCTTTTACAGTATTAAACCCTCAGTTGTAATTTCTTTGAGGGTAGAAATTAGAAAGTAAAGCTGTCATCAAACTGGCTTAGAGTTTACATAGTACTGAAGGAATTGCTGTGAATGATTTAATGATCTTGCCTAGCTATAAAAACAGAGTTGCTTGATCATAGGAACCAAACCATTTACAAAGCACTTAACAAACATTTATTGAGCACGTGCTGTGTGCCAGGCCCTGTATTAAACAAGTACAGATTAAAAAGTTGAGTAAGATACATCTTTTACCCTCAAAAGGATATAAAGGGAAACTAAGGTAAATCAAGTTGACAAAAAGGGAGAAGAAAATGGGTTGTATATATGTGTATTTCCTGTACTAGCTAATAAAATACTTCTTTTTTATTCTCTAAGGATGTAGATGCTTATTTATTACAGTTGCATTGAGAGACTTCATCTAGTGAAGAACATTTGGTTATTCAAAACATCCCTGGACTATATGATTTCCAAAATGGCTCATTGGAGAACTGTGAACTATGGAAGAAATCAAAACCTTTTTATTTTAAACTATATAATGAAACCACTAATGAAACCCAAGCATTCTACTTCACATTGAAGTGGAAAAATATCCGAAAGGAGCAGCTTCAACTTCAATGAGGTGAAAGTGCACTATGAAGATTGTTCACCTTCGCTGCGTTTGGGATTTATTTGGTTATTTGGTGACATTGTTTAGGAACTACTGGATTTTAATGCAATTCTGCATAAGAATATACTTTATACTATGTGAAAACATAAGACAACTTATTACTAGGAACCACAGAGACCAATCATCATTACTTTTTTTAAGATTGTGTTTTATAAGAAAACACTCAAATGTGTGCAGCTATTTTCTTATGTTGAAAAGACTTGGAAAGTTTAAAACATCATAACAAATAATCAATACTAAAAGTTTTTGTCCACCCTGAGATACTGTGTATACAAAATGCCTTAATTAATAAGCCAATGTGTATGATACGAATGTCTGTTTTAAAAAAATTAAAACCAACAGTGCTTCTGGCATGCTAAAATCATGCTCAAATCAGGGGCTTCCATTCATATAGAATGTTGTTAAAAATTACTCCACACCATCTGTAAAACTTGAGAATATTTTTAATATCTCTGATTTTTTTGCCAGAATCATTATGTCATGTATGTATGTATTATGCCTATGTAAAAGAAAAGGTGAATATGTATTTGTATGAATGCTTCGCTGGAAATGTTCATGGAGTTGGCTAATTTATATTCACTTTCTATTGTATATAGATTTCTAATATTTTCAGTTCTGTATCATTTAAGCTTCCTTCATTTGAGTAAATTCACTAAATATTTCTATTTTTTGCTTTTTAAATTCTGATTTTATATGAATTCTAATTCTTTTTCATTACATGTTTTAAAAAATGACAAACAATGATTTAGAAATGTTTACAGTTAGTGCTGACCTTGTATTTTAAATTCCAACACTTCGTATTACTACCTCCTCCAATGGTTGGTATGAAATGCCAGCAGACTATATGAGGTCTTTTTTTGTTTTAAATACCATTTTTAGTGTCAACCCACTTCTGGAGTGTCTTCACAGCTGTATATCTTAGCCTACCTTGAAAATGATTGGGATTTTAATACCACTATTGGTTCCTCCATCATCTCGTCTTTAATGAGCCCAAGAGGCATCTGAGCAAAGATTGTTAGTCATCAAATTTCTATGCAGTAATCCTTCAAGCACTTGAATGTCTTTAGCGTTTACCCAGTTAGCAACTACTGATGTGAATCCTAAACAAGCATCTTTCTTGCTTTAAAAATATTAAAAATGTTACCTTTCACTGAGTTCTCTTTTTGTGTAGCTATATTTCATATAGCTATGTGTTATTCCTCGCAGTGAACATCATTTGTAGTAATTGGCTATTTTCTTAAGTCTTTAGAATAATTTCAGATTACTGCACTTCTCTGATTTGAGAGTTGAGTTATTTAAGAAGTCAATCTTCAGGAGGTGGGAATTTGAATCGGAAACCTGCGTCATCCCTGTGAAACCTTAAGATGATGAAATATAACCTTTCTTTGTTCCTGTTCCTTTAGTTATCACTGTTTAATCTAACAGTTTGAACCTGTTAACTCAGAGCATGGTGCTAGTGAGATTAAGGACAGGAGCTGGAGCCTTTTATAGGTTCACTAACTTGACACACACACACAACTTTTTCACAGCTACCGATTGCACCTTAGGCATCCATCTCCCAAATTCAGCTCTTGGTCACAAGGAAGATGGTGTGTAGAGCTTAGTATAAACCCTTCACTCAAATAGAAAGATAACTCAAATATTTGGTATATGTAAAATTATAGACTTTTAATCTAATATTTAAAATAATGTTAAAAATAATATATGTAAAATACTGTGTCACTGTAATTTTGGGTAAGATCATTGACTAAACAGTACCTTCTAAAAATTAAACTTCAGTAAATCTAACTTCAGTAAACATTAAGTACAAATACAGGCAGAACAGTAAGAAGAGGTACAATCCTGAGTCCTTGTACCTAACTTTGAGTTTGTTGAACGAGAGTGGATAACACTATTTTACATACTTGGAGCATAAAAGGCAACAGAGTGTTTAGCTCACAAAGATTGTTCACTAGCACACACTCCTAATTTCTGTGGCCTTTGCAGCTTGCCTTAGTACCTGCCTCTTTCAGGTACTGAGTTATGACTAGTGTTAGGTGATTGTTAAGATTCTTGGATAAAGGATGTTAGATCTAAGTAAACATTGTTGAATACCTCTGTTCTATGAAGCTCTTCTCATGCTATTTAATCAGAACAGTGTTGATCTCCAGAAAGAGCCAAAGAAAGTGTTTACAAAGTATTTTCGCTGTTGTATTGACCTAGATTAGGACAATTGCTGTCTGTCATTGCTCATTTGTTGCTGTACTGCTAAGCAGTATACAGAACTGAGGGACTACCCAGGGTCTCTATGCCTTACTACCTCTTCTACCTTCTTAGGTTTTCTGTCCTGGACTTTGCTAACTTTGCAAGTCTAATGACAGGTAGTTTATCAAGGTGATAGAGGGTTATAATCAAATAATTTGTTTCTACTAGGAATGAAGTGAATGGCTTTTGTAATGAGTGATCATGATCAGAGTAAGGATTAAAAGTTGGGAAGCCACATTATCAGATGGTTTTCAAAATTAATCTTTTGGTAGTAATTTTAAAGATAATTGATATAGATTATTTACACATGCAAGAATTTGGATATCTATATCCATTTTGGTTAGTCATGAATATCAGCACTGAAGTCTAAGGGCTACCTAGGAATTAAATCCTAATCCCCCTAAACATACTTGGTACATGTCATGTGCTAATCTTAAAAATCGTTGTGTGGGTTCAAGGCTATATTTCTGGCCTTTGAAATAGTAATTTTCTGAAACTTAGACATTTCTATATTTGGCAAGATATTGATATAATTAACATTAATGGATAACTAGTTTGAGTAATGATTAGCTATTAAATGCTTATAATAGAAATCATTTAAATGTTTAGTTACTTAAATTAGTCAAGGAGTCTGAAAAAGCAAAATATAAGTTATTTTGTTAGTTATGCTCAGTTGTCTTTCTTCCTATTTAAGAACAAGATGGTAATGTCAGTTGCCTTCGTTAATTTAAAGGGAAAAAAATAGAATCACAAGCAGCTGACTCAACTGGAGGGATCCATTTGGATGCACTTCTTCTTATCCTTCAGTACAGATTTTTATTGCCTGGATTACTTCAGATGGAAATATTTGGTCGTCGGGAAAGTCATGATGTATTTTTCTATGTTTTCCAGTGCAAAAATGCATCGACTTTCCCGATGACCCAATAGTATTGCTGGACATTTGTAGGTAGGTGTTTACTCCTATGTTATTCTTTTTTCCTTAATTTCCAATTCTAGCTGTGAAAATTGTCATAAAACTTTGTGACACACTGTTCCCCCTTCTTTTTTCATTCTGTAACAGGAATATAGAATAAAAAATTCCTCCCTAAACACTATGCTTCTAATTTGTAATGTAGCTTGATTGATTCAATAACAGCACTAAGTATAACAAAACACTGCATATCATATACCTAGTATACTAAGTACATTTTCCAGTGCTGTACTTAAAATATTTCAAACATTATAGTCATAATTTTCTCTGGTTAAGATTATTCATTTAACAGTATGCTAAAATCAAACCAGTAAAAATTAAGTATAAAACACAGTACACCTGTAGTAAAAAATCTGCATATAATTTGATTCCCCCAAAGCGTAACTACTAATAACCTATTGATTGGAAGCCTTTCCAATAACGTAGTCAATTAACACTTATTTTGTATGTTATATGTATTATAATCTGTTATAATTAAACTAGAGAAAATGTTATTAAGAAAATCATAAGGAAGAGAAAATACATTTACAGTATTGAAAAAAATCTGCATATATGAGTGGACCCACAGAGTTGAAACCCATGTTGTTCAAGAGTCAACTGTGTATACCACAATATTTTCTTTTATAGACTAATCATAAAACACAAAATGATATAGTTACTATGTACCTATGAAAGGGCAACCCCACATCTGCCAGTATTTTTCATAGCAAAGCTTGTTATATAGCATTGCTTTGATATACAAATTATTCTCTGAACTACAAAGTTTTCATATGGGAGATGCCAGGAATCTGAATAAGGATTCAGCCCCCAAATAACCTTGAACTATATAGTATTGATTCTTATGCTTTAGAGTAGTCTGTGTTTTCATTCAGATTTAAACCCGATTTTTCTCTCTCTCTCTCTTTTTTTTTTTAACGTCTTGGACCCAGGCAAGAGTGTTGTGACACTCTAGATTTACACCAAAGCTAAGAAGAGTTGATCCAAAGTATTTTCTAGGGTAAGAAAGAGTTGTCGTGGGCATCCTGGAATACACTGAAGTATCAGAATTACTTGCTTCTAGAATTACTGTATTGCATTTATCAACCAAACCTACATCATGGAGCCTGGACTGGAATTAGACCTCGCCTTCCAGGAGTCAGGAGCAGAGTTAGTATCCATTTACTTTTCTACTTTCGTTTAAAAAAAAAAAGAAAAAACTTCATTAGCCCTTTGTATAAAATTAGTTGAACAGGTGAATGAGGACCAACCTTACCTCTCAACTTTCCCTTCAATATACTCACCAGTTCCTCTCTGTACAACTGCAGCTTAGTCTCAACAACAGCAGGGGAAATGAAAGTTCTAAAACTTAAAAGGTTTAGCAGAGGCTTATCTTTCCCCCTTATCCTCCAGATTCCTTTTCCGCTACTTAGAAAAGATAAGAAACCAGTAAAGGGGAGAAACCAAGCCACTTTCAGTCTCTCTTGAAGGCTTCTCGTCCTGTTACTTAAACATTGTTGTTCAAATTTCTGTGTTACAGGCTTCTCACTCTACCATTTCCCGGGGGGGTGGGGAATGCTTATTCTCAGGCTTCCTTTACCATCTACATTAATTGTTCTCATTTTGAGGATGGAAGGAAGGACGTTTTGCAGTTGATCAAATGGACGTGGATTTTTTCTAAAGATTGAGAAAACACTGAACTGTATGATTGTCATTCTCAAATGCATATCTTGTCCTAAACCTAACTCTTAGCATAAATTATATATCCAATTGCCTCCTGGTAACATCCATTGGGATATCTTGTAAATACCCTAAATTCAATATATCCAGAATTGACATAATTCTCCACCTCCACTCCCCCCCCACCCCCCAGGGACAAAATGTTCTTGGTGGATCCTGGGTTTCTGTTCTCATTGAATAGTCCTAATATCAGCAAATATCAAGCCACAAACCTGTGAATCATCTTTGAATCATCTCCAAATCATTAACAAATCCTGTTGGTACAGCCCCCCACCCCCTCCAAATTTCTCACATCTTTCTACATCTCTTCACCTCTCCTGCCATTACCTTAGTCTACATTATTCCAGCAGCTTCCTCCTCTGACATTGGCCCTACATCCCTACAACCCCCTCTCCTTGAATGCTGCCCTGGAATAGCCTGTAAAGCCCTTACCATGATCTTTCCATGTCACTCCTTAAGGACTCTTAGGAGAGTCTGAACAGTGTGATTTATAATCTCTCGACAACACCTCCTCCCCTCCCAATGCTCCAGCTAGAATGAACTTGTTTCCGTTTCCAGGAAACATTACACTTTCTCTGCAAATGCTCCATTTGCCTGAACACCCTTCTCCCCCAAGTTCCCACAGTTACCACTTTCTTAGCCTTCAGGTCTCAGCTTAAACACACTTCCTCTGGGAAGCCTTCTCTGACAGCTGTTAGAGGTCTCGGCCATAACTCTTGTCTCGACCTTATTCTCTTAACACTACTTATTAGTGTTTTGTAATTGCTTATCTGTCTTCCCAGCTAGACTGACAGTTTCATGAGACCAGAGAATATGTGCTCTTGTGACACATGCCCAGTCCCCAGCTCAAAGCCTGGCAAGTAGTAGGCATAAATGCAAGGGTGTGACATCTTTGTGCATACATTGTATGAGGAAGTAATTTAGTAATCCAAAGCTACTTGTGATAGTGGAACAGCTAAAAATGAGTAGTTCTACAATAAAAATATCCAGTTTTCTCTCTCTTTTTTGTTTTAGGGAATTGGTTTACAAATGTGCATGCTACAACAAAGTAAAACCTTAGCTAAAATGTGTTTGATTCTTGGAGGATGTTACATTTGTTTTTCTAGTGCATGATTTCTACATTCCACACAAGATCTATGAAAGTGAGGACTATCTATACTAGATAGTGCAACATTGAGCTATTTTCATTTAATGTGTAAAATACATGTATTTTCTTGGAATTGAGGGTATCCCTTTGGTGTTTGTGTTTCTCTTCTGTTTTTATCTTAAAATGATTGAGAATCATGTAAAATGGCGTTTTTTTCTATAAATTCCTTTTGTAAATTACAAAAGTAGTTCATACATATTTATGAAAGTAGTATAATAAAAAGAAAATTAAATACCCATAATCTCATCCACCTAGAACAGGGGTCAGCAAACTTTTGAGATGGAAGAGCCTCCAAGAGTCAGCAAACTGCGGCTCATGAGCCACATGCAGCTCTTTGGGTATGTACACGTGGCTCTGAATTAAGATTGAAAATGAAAATAAAACTATCATAATTTCACTTATAAAATTTTTCAAGGATATTATTCACATTATGGTGATTATGTAAAAAAAATGTATGGCTCTCGAATAATTTTTAAATTGTGAGGGACAGGATTGGCTCTTCCAGGGGTCGGCAAACTTTTGAGACGGAACTACCCAAAGAGCCGCATGTGGCTCACGAGCCGCAGTTTGCCGATCCCTGACCTAGAGGAACAATTATGTTTATTCTTCCAGATTTTCTTTTATGTGTATGCATTTTTAAAAATACAAATGGATTTATACTCTACATACTGATATTGGTATATTGTTTCCTGCTTTCCATACACTGGAAAAGCTTGAAGGTAACTGAAAAAAAATTTTTTTCCCTATTAAGGCTATATGTTCTGAGCAATTATTGTTAATTTTCTGTGGAGATACTGGAAGAGGCCTAAAAAATATTTATGAATTACTTTTGAAGCATTCTTAGTATAGGATTCTGTTTTCTTTGACCATTGCTAATCATTACCTATTTTTTTAATGTTAGGAAGAGGGCTTATAAGGGAAAATATAGTTTTTGTATTTTGAAAAGAAACAGATTTGTTTAAATCATCATAAGTATTTGGGAACAAAATTTCTATTTTTATACTGTGGTGTATTTCCTCTAGCCATCAAACATAATTTTCTAAAAAAACAGTAGTTCAGTCCTTATATATGAAACTGACATAATATTAAGCAGTACATAAAAATTGAGTCAGTATATAACTAAGATTTTATTTTTAAGATTCAGTCGTATCTAAACAAATCAATTCCTGATAACCTGATCACTCTCAAAACATTTTCTACAGAGTCTATTTATTCAGGTGCATCTAACTGAATAAATTTCTCTTCTGCCTAAATAAGTATTCTTTAGGTTCTATATTCTTAATTCAAAAGTAATCTGCATTCTGTTGTGGAGAAAATTTAATGCTAAAAATGGAGAAAAAAATTAATGCTAAATAACAGCAACAGAGTAGGTAAAGCTAATAATGTGTGTGTGTGTGTGTGTGTGAATAAGTATCCTATGCCTAGGCTCAACCTACTATCCTATACTATAATCAACCTTAAAGATTATTATAGCGATGCAGAGTAAAGGGAGGGCGATTTTCTTACAAATGGGGACACTATTACTGAATATCATTCTCCTATAATGTATTAGTGTTTTTACACTGCTAACTAGGCAAAATTCCTTAGTCTTCATCAGCTCTAAGATTACATTTTACATTGGCTTGTTTTCACAAAGTACCATTTAAATGTTTTAAAGAGCAACAATTAAACTTTATTTTTCACATAAGTTATTGGTGATTTAATCTAGTATAGTTTTGTTTTCTTTCACTCACACTTATTGAGCCAATTAACAGCAAATCAGATTAACTGAACATTGTTAGTCGCCTTCTAGTTTTTTAAATATTTAAGGGTTTGTTTTTTTTTTGTCATTTATGACCTTTTTAAAATAAAGATAAAATTAGTTTTGAAAGGTGACTATATAGCAATTGAAACAAAATAAATCTGTTAGGTTTTTAAAAATGATAGTATTGATTAAGGGCCATTTATTGTTGCCTTCGTCTAATAATTGAATCAATCAGTTCTGCTTTGTGTGAATCTGTGTAGTTAGATTAATATGTATAGTAACTTCATTCAACAAATCATCAAAATATGAAATAGCTAAAGTTTGTTTTAAGAGTTTCTGGTGATAATTAGAAATTATACTTTAGTAAATTATGTAAACTAGTTATTTTCTGTAAATTTCATTAAATATTGACATAAGTTTGGAATTAAATGGTAGCTATAGTAATTATAATTATTGACATGTTTGGTGTAATCTTCAAGAGAGTAGCTAATGTTTTAAATAGTATTACACCA